GTGTAATATTTCATTAAATACAGCAGCTTGAGTTATTTCTTCAAGCTGTGGTGAATGAGCTTTTGGCTGATGGGGCAGTATTTAATTGTACTGGGGAATTACACTGCATGTCCTGTATTTGAAAGCACATCGGTAATTTAACATTAGGCATAGTGCTGCTAAAGAGAACCTGTCATGAGAGAGATACCAGAGCCTGCCATGCTAACCCTTTAGATTACTTTTAATTATGGACCCTGAAGATTAACATTACAAAAGAAATTTGTGTCTGATTGAAAGTATATGTAAACCCTCACCTTGAAAACAACCCATACAGTTTAAAATAGAAATGAAATAGAATTTAAAAAAATTAAATAAAAAAACATTATGAAATACAAACACTGTACCTTTCCCCCCCTTATTTCTTTATAAATTATCACATACCCTTCTAATCTCCTTATGCAGCTGAGAAAAGAGAGCCGGGGGCAAAGAAATAGCAGTACACTAATCTTCTCAGTGAAAGGCTGTGCAGTGGGAGGGGTGGGGGGTGTAAGCGGAAACCTGATCATTGGAGGGGAGCACATTGAATTACCAGCACAGACAGCAAACACTGCTCTTATGCTTAGTGTAGTTATTTATTCATATGGTACATGGAACAGTAGGCACATATCAGGAATATGAAATGTTGGGTTAACATGTTCTTTAAAGGAGACCTAAATTAGAAGTGGACCTTCACCCATAAATATGACCTCCCCTCCCTCCTCCCTCTTACACAATTGGGTATTTTTGTTTCAAGAATCTTTTCTTTAAAATCCTGTATGTGCAAATACGCTGTAAAAGTTATAAAACCGGGGGTTTCATGTGATTCCACGCATGTGCCGACATGCCGCTTGGTTCTGTCATGTCTGCGCACACGAGATGTTGAGCCACGTTGGCCGGAGTTGGAGCACAGTGGCAAAGAAGAACATTGGGCTGCAAGGAGGATAACTGAATTCCATGGAATAGTAAGTATGTATACTCTATGGGAAAGCACAGCTAACCCTTACCAAACAAACCCACAGGTAAATTGCACTGCTTCTGCGGTGTGGTCGAACTCTGTGAAAGGGCTCTTACTTTTTAGCAATGGTTATGAAATAAAGACACAACACTAATTACATCCGATTTTTTTTTAAATTTATTTATGTAACACAGTGTAGAAAGCTATTAGTTCATAAGCAATGATTCTGTACAATCATCCAGCAGAAAGTTATCATTTTGTAAGGAATCTCTGCTAATTTTGTTTTTTGTTTTTTTTTACCAGCAGGGCACTTTTTTATTTCTCCTTTAAAAAAAGTGCTTAAAATTATCAGAGACACAACAAACAACCCCGTAAAAGCTAGGCGATCTCGAAACACATTGTGTCCCCGGGACCATCGAGCACTGATGGGGTTAAAGCTCCAAAGGTACATGGAAAAGAAAAAAATATTTATATATATATACTTTTTTTGTTCAATTTTTTTTAAATTCTGTTTTTGCAACTCCTAAAGTGTGCACATAAAACAGGCACAAAAAAACAAATGTGTAATCTTCATGATTTTCTACACCACTAAACACAGCAGTACAATCTGTACAATAACACGGTAGAGGAAAAAAAAAAAAAAAAAAATGAAAAAAAGAAATTGACCATGGAATAAAAAAAAAAAAATCATAATAAAAAATAAATTTAGATTTATTTCTGAAAATGCATAGCGGAGGTGAAAAAATGATTAGGCAATAAGAACAAAAAAAAAAAAAAAAAGAAAAGAAAAAAGCAGCAAAAACCTCACGTACACAGAAGAATGCATCCCCAATCGTTTGTAAAGCAATTTTTAACCAGGACTGATTTTTTTTTTTGTCACAACTCACAAGAATAATATACAACCGGTTTTTAGGATCTACATGATAAATAATCAGGAGAGGCAGCTACTCATGCACTAGATTAAAGACAGCTATTCTCTTTACAGTACACAAAAACATTCATCGAATTATGTTATGTAAAGACAGAGATGTTAAGAGAATACATTACAGATTTTAGTTTATTAGTTCAAGCATCTACTTTTGTTACAGCACAGCTGTCAAAAGGCGGAAATGAGTAAATAATAAAACAGTGTTTTTTTTTTCCCTTTTTTTGTATTATTCTCTCAACATGACCTTTTTTTTTTAAATTTTCTGTTTCTATATTTATATATGTATAGAGTGGAACACCGATGGGCAGTGAAGCAATCAATCTGCTGTCCGAGACCAGAGGCTGCTGTGGTGTTCTCAGTTCTGCATCTGTTCAAAGAACTTGTAGGTTGGGTTTTCATAGCCGTTTTGCTGCATTTTGGTCAGGTGGCGCTCCTCGGGGGTCACAGCAGCATCAACCTGTGATAAGACAGATCAGAGGGATAACTGAATTTTTAAAACGTAAATTGATAGTAAAGGTTGAAATAAAGAACAAACATGCCATACTCACTTGCTCTGTGCAATGGTTTTGCACAAAGCAGCCCTGATCCTCCTCTTCTCTGAATGCCCCCATAGCAAGCCACTTGCTATGGGGGCACTCGTGCATACTCACTCCCAGGCCCCGTGCTGTGTGTCCATAAGAAATACAGAATGGGGCTCAGCCCCACACTCCCCTCTGGCTGTAAATTACAGCACTGGGAGCCAATGGCTCCTGCTGCTGTCTCTCATCCAATAAGGGAGACCCGGGAGAGCAGTCACTCTTGTGCACATTGCTGGATCGCGATTGTGCTCGGGTGTTAGGTGGGGTTGCAGGTGGGAGCTACATACTGAAGGTTTTGTGTAGAATGTATGAAGGTAAAAAAAAAACACAACAGACCAGATGCGATTTCTCCTGCGCTCTAGTACCCAGACTGGTGGCGAGTAGATGGAACCAAAACCAGAGAAAAGCGATCACCAGTGTATTTAAAGGTTGTGCATCTCCAAACAAGGCTGGGGAAGCCCGACTGATACTGCAAAGTGAAACAAAAAACAAGAAGCGCACCAAACCTTGCGCATTACCTCAGTAACCAAATTTATTAATTGAAGAATGGTACTCACAAACAGCGAATAAAATCAGGCATTCATCAGAGCTCTGATGAAGAGGGCATGGCCTTCGAAACACGTCAGCTGTACTGTCTACCCCCATGATGGGATTCGCGCTGGCTTCTTATCTTTGAAGTCCCTTCAAGGACTACATGCCTGATTTTATTCGCTGTTTGTGAGTACCATTCTTCATTTAATAAATTTGGTTACTGAGGTAATGTGCAAGGTTGGTGCGCTTGTTTTTTGTTTCACTTTGGGGTAAAAAAAAAAAAAAAAAAAAACCTTCAACCTTTAGAACCACTTTAAGAATCCTGCTCAGGTACCTGAGATCTGTGCTGCTTTCCCCTCAGCTGTGGCATTTTTGTCAGGAACAAAAGCAGCAGATCAGTAAACATCTGTTCGCTGATCTCCCCTAGTTTTCATGAACCTACATGCACTCAGCTCTGAGCACTTCACAGTTCAGAGCTATCAACGCCAAACCACTCTGGCTGGGGAAGAAGCTGCTTGAGAAACATCTATGAAGGTTTTTATTTGCATTTTCCTTTAAATCAGTGGTTCTTAACCTGGGTTCGATCGAACCCCAGGGGTTCAGTGAGTCAGTCTCGCGGGTTCGGCAGAGGTGAAGACCCACACCCGACTCATATGATTCGTGCAGTAAATATTCATTATTATGTTTTTTGTTTTTGTGTGAAAATCATGTTTTAATGGTTTTGTTCTTTGTTCTTAACGGTTTTGTTCATTTTGTGCACCTATGTATAAATATATACCTATGTTTTGAATTTTAAAAATCATATTTTATTTTTCCAATTAAGAAGGGTTCGGTGAATGCGCATATGAAACTGGTGGGGTTCAGTACCTCCAGCAAGGTTAAGAACCACTGCTTTAAATGAACAGTTGTATTCTAGTGTTCCTTTAAGAGCAAACAAAATCACTGTCACCATCTCTTGTGCAGTTGAAGAAATGTGGCTTGTCTCATCTACAAGGAGTAGACACCTGCTAATGGGACCCCAGAGTACCTGCCACTGCCTATTGCTGTCACAAGGGATGTTTACATTCCTTGTGAAAGCAATAAAAGTGATTTAAAAAAAATGTAAAGTGACAGTGCAAAAATAATAATAAAAAAAAAATTATTTAAAAAGTAAAACGCCCCTGTCCTCCCGCGTAAAGGTGAAAGCTTGTGCTGGTCTCACACGCAAACAGCAATTGGCTCACATGAGATATCACCAGGAATGTCAGATCATTGGCAGTAATTTTTAGCATCAGACCTCCTGTGTAAATATAAAGTGGTAACCTGTAAAAAGGCTTTGAAAGCATCCCCTATGTATGATAAAACTTATGCGGTTTGTCAGTTGCACAGGCTTGTGCAATTTTAAAGCATGACATGTTTGATATCTATTTACTCGGCGTAACATCTTTTATGATTTACCAAACATCTGGTTATGTATTGTGTTTTTTTGGATTAAAATTTAAAAATGTGTATTTTCCCACAAAAAAATTACATTTGTAAAACCACTGCGCAAATACCGCGTGACATAAAAAAAATTGCAACACCCACCAATTTATTCTCTAGGGCCTCTGAACTCCCAAACATTATATATTTTCAAAGCAAAGAAAATTTTCTAGCAAACAAATACTGACATGTAAACGATATGTACAGAAAGGCTTGGCCTTCAAGTGGATAAGCTGGTCTGAGAGTAAAGCACGCATTTACATTATAAGTGGCCACCCAGTAGCCAAAGAGGAGTGACAGGACCCTGGAGAAAGTGGCAGGGAAGATAGTGGCAGACAGCGTGATGAAGAGCAGCTCTGACCTAGAAGAGCTTGACTTTAGGAGGACAAATGGCAAGGTAAACAGCAGATCTACATTTTCACTTAAAGGATGCCATTATAACAAGATTCTCCAGGTTTCAGTCAATAAATGTGACATTGAATGCTACAGACAGAAGTAGACAACGTAAATAGCTTCTTGCTTTTCAAGGTCACTGGTTGGAGTAGAGACTGTTGCTGCCTTCATTCAGGGTTCTTACCTCTACTACACCGTGATGGATGGAAGTGTACTGCCTCTTCTTCAGCATCACTAGTGTGATTACTATAACTGTTGCTATGACAACACCACCAACCATTAGACCGATAATTGCTCCTTTGTTTGAGCCGACTTCCTCCGCAAAGAAGACCTGAAAATCGAGAACATATTTTGTCCAAAATAGCTACCAAATCCTCCTACAAAATATAACATAACATAAACTCACCGACCACTTTATTAGGTACACCTGTTTAATTACTTGGTAACACAAATTGCTAATCAGCCAATCATATGGCAACTCTTCAATGCATTTAGGCATGTAGATGTGGTGAAGGCAACGTGCTGAAGTTCAAACCAATGCATGAGGATAGGGAAGAAAGGGGATTTAAGTGACTTTGAACGTGGTATGGTTGTTGGTGCCAGATGGGCTTGTCTGAGTGTTTCAAAAACTGTTGATCTAATGGGATTGTAATGCAAGATCATCTCTATGGCTTACAGAGAATGGTCTGCAAAAGATAAAATATCCAGTGAGCAGCAGTTGTGTGGACCAAAATGCCTTGTTGATGTCAGAGGAGAATGGGCATTCAATTTCAGCTGCCACATTCAGATGGTAGGGTCAGAATTTGGCATAAACAACATGAAAACATGGATCCATTCTGCCTTGTATCAATGGTTCAGGCTGGTGGTGGTGTGTAATGGTGTGGGGGATATTTTCTTGGCACTAGCTAGGTGTACCAAATACTGTGGCTGGTGAGTGTATAAGCAGGATGAGAACATAAATGCATGGGAACACTTGAGAATCCTATACCCAGGAGTCCAACATGATACCACTATAGGAAGCATTATGTGGAGTCGGATACTTTTAGCATCTGGCCACATGCTTGTTCCAGATCAACAACTTTACTAAACAGTGAAGCCAGGATCAGAAAGATAGCCTTGAATATATGACAGTGATAGCAGGCCAGTAACACTGTCTATAAAGTGACCATGATGGGAGGCTTACCAGTTTCTGGTGATGCACTTCATACCCAGCGTCCATTTTTACTTCTGAGATCTCTTCTGTTTTAATATTGGTAAGCCCTGATCCTAAAAAAAAAAAAAAAAAAAAAAAAATCACCATTACTACACCTTGAAGAAGTAGCTTTATATAACACATTATAAATGCAAAAGGGGTCATATAGTTGTTAATTAAGCTGAAAATATTTTTTTACCATTAAGTAAAAAAAAAAAATTCTGTAGTAGATCCAAGAGAAGACAAAAAAACCCTTAAAAAAAAAAAGAAGAATGATCCAATCGAGATCTCCAAAGGCAACCAGAAAACTCCCAGGACCAGCATTCTGATATATTCATATTTCTTACAATTGTTAGTAGCTGCTAGAACCTGTTCCAGTGGAAGGAAATTTCCTATTCCCTTGCAGTATATGGTAGTTACGCCTCTTATTCCACTTACGTCATTTGTGGTGATCCTAAAGTGAACAACTTTCTACAGCTTACTAAAAAAAACATTTATATATTTATACAAGGTGGTCATATCCTCAGGTGACTAGTCAACACTGCTTGTTGATTCATTTGATAAGGGAGGAATCACTATTAAATAATGGACTTCTTTTAGCATTGTGTATCAGCAAAGATACAATGCTAAACATGAAACAGAGATTAGTGCTCCAATGGCTGGCTCTAAAGGAAAACACAAAACATTTATATGGATTAGTCATATTTACTTAAATCCCAACTCCCCTTTTTAATTAAAGGAGAAGTTTGGAGTAAATAAAAAAAAAAAAAAAATCAACCCTTTAATCGGCTACATTGGATTTAAGCCTGAAAACAGAGCGATTACATGACTGCTAATCGCTCAGTTTTCAGTCTGCCTGGACAGACAGCTATGACTGTCAGTCACTGCCCTCTGCTCCTTCAGCAATCAATAGAGTGCCAGGCAGGAAAAGGGGGGCAGCTGTCAATCAGCAGCTGGGTGGATCTGGACAATATGGTCGGGATTCTTCCAGAGCCTGGTGTGGCTGTACGACATCAGCTAATAGTGGCCAAAAGTGCAGTTCTGTGACCAAGAAGAGAAGCACAGCCAAAAAAGCTTTGTTCATATTTCTCTTTTAAAAGTTCAGTAGCTTAATATGTGTCAAATTACATAAATAATCAACTGTTGCTGCAATACTCACCTCCTCCTCTCCCATGTTGTCCCTGCAGAGTCAGAGTAAAAGCGTATCCCCTTTCCAGCTGAACAACATCCAGTATCATCTAGCCCACTTCCTGTGAGTCAAGGTCACCATACACACAATGGTCTTGCACATCAAGTGAGCGCCACAATGTCCAAGAATAAGGATCACACATTTTTGGAGAAAAGGAAGGTCCCATGATATCACTTGAGCAGCAAGAAGACTCAGACCTCATTCACACTTCCACTCTGTGTTTAGCTTTTTTAAACACAGGAGAAGCCACCTGCGAAGCCTAAACTGCCTCCCAGATCAATATTTGCTGCATTTAGATGTTCCTTCTTTAGAGCAGTTTTAACCACTTTTAGGTGCTATTAGATTTGTTTATATGTGGTTACATCCTTTTCGCTGTTTTCGGAGTTTCTGATCAGATCCTGGACACACAGAATCCTATGTTCGCTAACGGCAGCTAAACTGACTTTGCCTAAATGCAGGTAGACGCACAGTGTAAATGGAACCGTTGAAAAAGCATTACATGCATTTATGTGTTTTTCTCTAAATGCATACAAACACAGGTTTGACGCTGCCAGTGTGAATGAGGCCTAAGCATGTGTGTGTCCTAGAAAACATGGAGTTAGGCTTCAAAGTAAAACTGAACTCAAGTCAGTTAAATTAGAATGTTAATTGTGCCATAGCAGTACCCTAAAAAATAATTTGCTTGACGTTCCTCCTTACAATTGCAGTGCACTTCCTGGCATGTAAGGGTGCCTAGGCACCCCTGTGCTCACAGTGTCATAGTCGGATATCTGTAGTGTGAGATATACTAATATATATACACTGTAGATATACAACTGCTTTCTCTGAGTGAGATTTAGTGGTATCACTGTGGTGATGTTACTGTTCTCATTGCTGGAGGTTCTAACATGAGGAAGCAAAGCCCTGCCAATCATGATGGCTACCTCCACACAGGGACATGGTGTAGAACAAAACGCAAGAACAAATAGGAAACTGGATTCAGATGTTCTAAGAGTCAGTAAAATGGTCACTGGGCACACTGGCTCTGATTCTAAAAAAAACACTCACATACAAACCAACGAGAGCGCCAAACAAATGTCCAGAAATGCAAGGTTTTTAATGATAAAACCGATTAACCGCTGGTTCACATCTCTGCGGGACCCGCACAAATACCTGCAGCCACACCACCCAACCACACAGAGGAATGCGGGACCCGAAGGCGGGTGTCATCAATTCTAATGGCACGCCGCCAACACTGGAAAACGCAACCGTACTGGGAACCTTGGTTCCTGTGCGGGCTGCGATTTCCAAAGCAGTGCAGGGATTTCTTCCCTGTGTGTCCCGGGGCACAGAAGTCCATTCAAATGAATGGGCTCTCGTGTCCGTTCAAATTGTGGCCCACACAGATGTGAACCAGGGCTTAGTCACCGGTCACACCACTCTGATTTAAAATAACGCAATTTGTGTGCAATTTCAGTGCGATTTCAGGTGTGATTTCTGAAGACTTTAATGCTACTTTTGAAGATTTTGAATGATTTCTTGCAATTTGCAGTGCGATTTCCATTATATTCTATGTACAGTTGTGTTCAAAATAATAGCAGTGTGTTGAAAAAAGTGAATAAAGCTCAAAATCCTTCTAATAGCTTTTATTTCCATACACACAAATGCATTGGGAACACTACACATTCTATTCCAAATCAAAACATGAAGAAAAATATATCAAATTTGTGTTGTTCCTCTAAAAAAAATTGAAGAAAAGTGAATATTAGATTGTTCAAAAAAATAGCAGTGTTTGTATTCTTCTTTACAAACTCAAACATTCACTATATAAACTGAAAAATGTTTGAAGATTTTGCTTTCCTTTGAATCACTTAATGAATATTTAGTTGCATAAGCACTGTTTCTGAGAACTGCTGTACATCTGTGTTGCATGGAGTCAACCAACTTCTGGCGCCTGTGATCAGGTATTCCAGCCCAGGATGATTGGACTACATTCCACAGTTCTTCTCTATTTCTTGGTTTTGCCTCAGAAACTGCATTTTTGATGTCACCCCACAAGTTTTCTATTGGATTAAGATCCGGGGATGGGGCTGGCCACTCCATAACGTCAATCTTGTTGGTCTGGAACCAAGATGTTGCACGTTTACTGGTGTGTTTGGGGTCGTTGTCTTGTTGGAACACCCATTTCAAGGGCATTTCCTCTTCAGCATAAGGCAGCATGACCTCAAGTATTCTGATGGATTCAAACTGATCCATGATCCCTGGTATGCGATAAATAGGCCCAACACCGTAGTATGAGAAACATCCCCATATCATGATGCTTGCACCACCATGCTTCACTGTCTTCACAGTGTGCTGTGGCTTGAATTCAGTGTTTGGGGGTTGTCTGACAAACTGTCTCCGCCCACTAGACCCAAAAAGAACAATCTTACTTTCATCAGTCCACAAAATGTTGCGCCATTTCTCTTTAGGCCAGTCATTGTGCTCTTTGGCAAATTGTAACCTCTTCAGCACATGTCTGTTTTTCAACAATGGGACTTTGCTGGGGCTTCTTGCAGATAGCTTGGCTTCACATTGGCGTCTTCTAATTGTAACAGTACTCACAGGTAACTTTACACCTCCTTTGATCTTCCTGGAGCTGATTGTTGGCTGAGTCCTTGCCATTTTGGTTATTCTTCTATCCATTCGAATGGTAGTTTTTCGCTTTCTTCCACGTCTTTCAGGTTTTGGTTGCCATTTTAAAGCATTTGCGATCATTTTAGCTGAGCAGCCTATCATTTTCTGCACTTCTTTATATGTTTTCCCCTCTCCAATCAACTTTTTAATCAAGGTACGCTGTTCTTCTGAACAATGTCTGGAACGACCCATTTTCCTCAGAATTTCAGAGAGAAATGCACTGTAACCAGCATGTACAACATTTGCTGCCTTCCTTCCTTAAATAAGGGCAATAATTGCGACCTGTTTTTCAAAGAATGAATGACCTCACTAATAGAACTCCACAGCTATTATTTTGAACATGCCCCTTTCAATTAGTGATTCAATTACACAGAATCAGCAGCATGCATGTCATGACTGTTGGGTCTGTTGGATTTCTATTACTCTACTACACCTGCTAGTAAATTATTTGCCATGTAGAAATATCATTTCTACCAAAAACAGTGATTGATCAGGTTGGTGATGTCTGACTGCTATTATTTTGAACACAACTGTATGTGAAATAGCAACAAAACTGCAGAAAAAAGTAATGCAAGTGCTACTTTAGAAATTGTGCTGCAGCAAATTGCACGTTAGCCCCCCGTCACATCAAAGCTGATTTTGAAATCGTGCGACTTACAGTGAAGTCGCACGATTTAAAAATTGGGTAACCTGCCAATTTCCTTGTGATTTGTAAGACATCTGACACAGATGTCTATGCAAATCGCACAAAAAGTAGTACATGCAATATTTTATAGAAATCAGTGCGGCTCCGACCAAGTTGGAGCCGCACCGATATGACAGCTCTGATAGCGGACAATAGGGTGCGACTTGGCCTACGATTTGCAAGTCGGCTGGCATTCAAATCGCATCCGACATGACCGGGGGCTTAAGACACTGACAGTCAGACATTCTCATTCATTAGATGTGATTTCAGGTGCAATTTCAATTCACAAATCACACCAGAAATCGCAACTGGTATGACTGGGCACTTAGCCCTGGGTCACACTGAATGCAACTTTAAAATCAAGTGAAGTAGCACGATTTCAAAGCTGCAGATCAGTGCCATTTGTACCTCCGATTTCACTGTGGCTTGCAACTTCATTAAACAGAAGTCAATGCCAGTTGCAATGAAATCGGAAAAAAAGTAGTGCAGGAACTATTT